AGCAGCCGTGACTCGCCGTACTTGAGTAGCATCAACGTGGCCGCGTGTCACGAGCTGAAAACGTATTTACATTTGGTAGACGGGTTTGTGAGCTCCACGTGTCCATTCAGAGAGACGGCTCGGAGAGTTCTCCACAGATGAAGATTCATACATTGGACACTCTAAACGTACGATTTGATTTTTTGAACAAAAGAAACACACTAAACCGGGAAGAAAATCAAGAACCTCCACGGTTTGATCCCGATAATTAACAGATCTTATTTGTTACATATCTCTAACTTAGTCGTAGAAGAATAGAAAACAGCTCTAAAAGAGCGAAAAATGTATCGATGCATCGTATAATCTCAAATAGTAGTTTATATATGCATCGTATAGATGTTAAAAATGTATCTTTCTAAGAAAAATGTTCGTAGCTGTTAAAACGTGGTCATGATAAATCATAAATTGTAGACGCACGACACGAGACGAGAGCATGAGTGTCTAAAGGCGTAAATTGTCTTAACTTGGACTGAGGAAGAAATAAAAAGACAAAAGTATCCCTATCTCCGTCCAAACTTTTGAGAATATATATCTCAAATCTCAATGATGGCGCCACGTAAGCACCGACCGTCTGAAGAAGTTGACTGGAACTCTCTCTGTGTTTTGCAAAAAAAGAGAGATTCAGTTAATTCACTTGTGAAAGAAATCTGTAAACTCCAAAAGCCAAATGAGAACACGCATCATCCGCCGTCCATTTATTTACCGTATCTTCTTTACCTACCTTCCTCGTTACTAGGAAAATAAAAAACCATCCACGCATTATTCATTTCCCAATCAAAAACATCAGTGTGTGTTATTTTACAACATTGTTTCCTTACTACGTTATGCTGCTCGAAAAGTATAGTCTCGCTGTTCATAAAAAAAAAAGTAATTTTTCTAGATAATAAAATTGGTTTCAGAAAAATAATTATTTTAAATTATCAATGTATTATTAATTACGATTTGCAAATTTCAAAGTAAATAACTAAATATTATTAGTTTACAATTCTAAAAATTATAAAATGATGCAATTATCATTAACTTTTAGATGTTTTTTAATATATGTGAAAAACTTAAAAAATATATTTTTTTTAGAAGTAGAAGGAGTATATTCAAATGCTATGTTATTCTAGTCACCACTACCATATATCATATTAGTAACCAATTCCATGCCATATATAATAGATAGAATGTCACGCACTATTAGGTTATGCAGAAAAAACTGAATTTTATTATATGTTATGCTATTGGATTGTGTACATTGTAAAATAGGATTGTTGGTTTAGTTTGATGTAGTTGGTATAGTTTACCTGTATATAAATACTACATATTATACAGTCTCACTAAGAATTACATAATTTTTTAGTTTTAAATTTTATTTTATTTTGAAGAAATTTCAAACTGTGAGTACACGAAAAAGGGGTATATAAACATAATTTTTGCAAGAAAGGACGTGATGAGGCACAAAAGTCTCTTATTGCACAAGAAAAGGAGAAGAAAAAAAACTTGAAAGGAGTAGAAAGTAAACTAGAAAGATTAGGTGGTAGAAGGTTAATTTTGTTTGCATTTAGGTTGAATGTATAACGAACTCATCTAATTACATGGATTACATAGTCGTCGTCAAAATTAAAATCTAGTTAGTTTTTTTTTTTTTCCTATAGTCATTCCTCCTTATTTCTGAAAAATAAAAGAGGAGATAGAAAAATCCCCTTAACCAAGAAAGTTCATGAGAACGGCCAGCGTCACTATTTTTGTGGCGAAATGGGTGAAGAAATATTAGGCATGCAAGATCCAATTCCAAGCCGTATAAGTACATATATAACTGGCCTTTGACAAAAAAAAAAAAAGAAGAACATATTTTTATATTCTCAAATATCTATAGGTACAAAAGTAAATAGATCACATAACCGACCCATACCTAAAATGCTAGATATACATAGTTATAGAAAGTGATTATCGTTACTTGTTACTTTGTTAGACCCACAACATATTTTTAGATCATCAACCTTATATCGAATTTTCTGACTACATTTTCTTGAATGATTAAAGTTAGATTGGACAAGTCAATAACGTATATAGTTAACCTTTTCCGTTTCCCGTTATTGTGGAAACCTTCTTATCTACAGTACTTTGACTACATTCTCTCCGACCACTTTTTTAGTTTTTAACGCAGAAATAAATATATAATAATAATAATAATAATTCATTGGGACTCTCCTTTTTCTTTACACTATTTTTGTTCGCTTGTGCAATTTTCTCTCTAACACTGGTCCAAAGTATACCATCTATCATATATGATACAATTCGTAATTTAGATTTTTTTTAACAAACTCTGTCTTGGACAGATGACATGTATTTAGAAATCAGGAGGGGCCGTATAAACTTACTTGTTCCCTAAATATAATGTTTTATAAACATTAATAGATTTAAAGACATATTACCGTAATTTTTAAAACAAGTAAATTACCTTGTTCGCCCAACACAATCTATAGTTTGCGCTGTATTCCATACAAACGTATTTACATTTTCATACCAAAACTTACAAAAAATAAATTACGGTGACAAGTAATAAATTTTAAATCTAAATCCAAAAAAAATAATCATCTCCTTTAGTTTCACCTTCTATGTGAATCATGTGTGTGATATGCTAATATTACAAAAGTGATATTTACATTGTCTACACAAAAGGGTCACGCAAGAAATTAATCAACTCCGTTTAGTCGTTTCACCATCTACGTGAATCATGTGATGTGCTCATATGCATACAAATGTCATCTTATAGCTTTCAGCCGACTTTCGAATAAGGAGGACCAACAAAACAGTCTACGCCATGCAGAGAACACGCCAATAACTCTTTTATATATATATATATATATATATATTATTTTTTTTGTTGACGGGATCGATATATTGTTGATGAAATGATGATTGTACAAATACTTAACTTTATCATTTTTTACTAACTGTAAATTACAATAATTATTTGAAGAGGGAATATATTGTTGATAAAATTATGAATGTAAAAATAGTTAAATAATAACTATATTATTTCTTACTTTGTTTCTAGCTATGATTATTCGTTGGGAGAATATATTATACAGTAATATACATGAATAAAATGATGACGCATAATTTACATAATACGAAAACAATAATATAAGATGAAATAAAGAAATAAAGGAGAGGAAGAGGAAGATATAGGAATGCGTACGTGTACGTGTGTGTGTGTGTGTGTGTATGCCTTTATGCCTCCTACATCTCAACATTGTGCAAAATTGCGGCTGCCCAACAAACAACCCAAAAGTGAGTTAGTCAAAAGACTCAAAATAATGAAAATCAATGCATGTCCTAGTCTCACTCACCCAACTCTCACCTTCTTCGTTTCAATTCTCATATTGCAAATCTTTTTGGTCAATTGTGGTATTGATTATTTAACAACTAATGGTTTTATAAATTAGTCCTGAAAAGGAATTAATGTGTTGCTGTTGCATATTAAACAACTATTTGCTTTCTACTCAACATTAATTGAAGATGATTAGATTATAATCTATGTTATTTTTTATTTTATTCTTTGTCAACAATGTGTAATGAAGAACAAGTCCATGTCGAGTTTCGCGTACGTGGTGGTGTAGACTGTGGAGTAAAACGCGAAGATGGTCAAAATTCAAATAGACTTTTAAATATTAAGAAGACGGCAACGGGTTACGTTATTCTTCTCCCGTCGATTCAATATGTAATTACGTTCACATTTCCTGGTTTTCTTTTCTTTTATAGAAAAAGGTTTTTTTTTTTTTGAAAGTACGAACTGACGCTGCGTTCTAAAAACAAATCTGTAAAAGTAGATATGGTTTCCCAATTAAACGTAAGTCTTCTACTCTTTTTTTCAAGCTCGTACAATACTTCAACATTTCTAGTCGGAGTCCCAGTGACATGTGAGGTATGAACAGTATACCAAGTTTTTTTTTGCTAAAAACAGTATACCAAGTTGAATATGCGATAGACTATTCTTTTTAAAATTTTAGAAGTCCTTAATTAAGTTAGTACGTGTATATTAATTAGACGACAACAACTGAAAACCCCCCAATTTCCAACCAAAGCAAGGTATATATCATGTGTTCTGAGTTCTGACCAAAGCAATGTATCTTGTATTCCAACCAAAGCAATGTATCATGTTTTTCAAGTTTTCAACCAAAGCAATGCATGCATCATGTATTCCGATCAAAGCAAATGTATAATGCATTCTGACCAAAGCATGTAAAAGAATGTACGCTTTTAATAGACATAAGAAAAGGAAGACTGTCATTAGTTTGATAACATCATACCAATGCAACGTATCATGCATGTGTGTGACTTCATTTCTTCCATACAAAAATAAAATAAAAAAATCGTATACAATAATAAGAAAGAGAAATAATTTGATAAATACATCCTAATTAATTATATATTTCTCTTTTTTTCATGGTAACATTGTACATAATTAGTTTGACAGTTAGTATACCGTTTCATCAGTTGGCAATGAAAAGAAGGAAAACATTTTTATGATATAATTATTGAAAAGACAATGAAATATTAAGATGAACTCATGTAAGTTCCTTCAGTCGAAAATAGCACGTGTGGTGAAGTTTCTGTGTCAAACTTGAAATTAATAAATAAATACATTGATCAAATTGCAGCAAATTTTTTTTTTTTTTTGGGGGTAGAATAGCAGAGTTAATTAAGATGAATTATATTAATAAGCTAAATCACGGAAAAAATCTAAAGGTTTAAAACTTGTATAATTTCAAAAACGTTTTATGTTTTATTAAAGGGAAGCCCACAAGCCCAATAGCTTTTATTTTTGCAAATTGCAACAACAAGAAAAAGAAAAAAAAAAAAAACCCAAAGAAGACAAAAAAAAAATTAATAAACGAAGCTTTCCATCTCCGCCGCAGTATACATCGGCCATTGAAACCCTAAACCCCTTTTTGATTTGTGGTTGTTCCATCAACGCTCTGGGCAAAGCTCTTCACTCTCCATCTCTCAGACCAATCGTGATTTTGCATACTCCTCAGGTCTCAGGTTAGTATTCGATCTCTAAAGTACCTACTCTTACATGGGATTAGGTTATGAGATTCTAGATTAGTTGGAATCTAGAATCCATGTTCGAATTGGGATAGTTAGGTGAACGGAATCGTAAAGCTCAATGCGTAACCTCTCTCAAATTTTGTCTCAGGAAAGATTCAAATCAAAATGTATAAACGTAAGCCAATGGAGAAGAAAAAGGAAGGCATGGAGTCTAACAATCAAGCTTCGAGCTTTAGGAATATTATGAGAGATGTTCAACTCTTTAGTATACACTCTCTCTCTCTTCTCTTCTCTGTTTGATCGTTGTGTGTATTGTGATGATGCAAGTTTTATGGTTCACTTCAGCTGAACTTGTTGTTGTATTTACTATTAAGGTTCTTCTCATATGACATGGAAGGATAAGAAAGCATTGGAGAACAAGAAAGTGACTGAACTTGGTGGAAAGGTAAGATTTTTGACATAACTTGAAACTATTGCAGTAAGGGAGAACCTTTTTTTATTTCGATATGTGATTTGTTGTTTTGAGGTTATGATTTTTACGCGGGTCGTAAGATTTTATTTAATGTTATTGCAGCCTCAGAAGAAGCAGAGGCTACCGTTGAGTGTAGCGCGAGTGCAGATGAAGAAACAGAAAGACAGAGAAGAGAAGATGTTTGAACAGGTGACTTTTACATCATGAACTTCTCTGTTCCTTTGATCCAATACGATATATGTTTCTCACCTGTTATTGGGTGCATTGCAGAATCTGATCCTCGGGAGATTTGGAGCACAATTTGGGAGTGGGTCTACTAGGAAACCTGCAGAGAAGAAGCGTACACCAGAAGAGAGAGTCTTGAAGTCTACTGTAGGGGATTTCAGGGGAGGTGTTCTTGATGTTAGGCATTTGCTACGTTCCGGTTCATCAGGAACCAGTGACAGAGATTTCAAGATAAAGAAACACGGTAAGAACTATAACTTGGGAGGAGGAGGTGAAGGAGGCGGCTTAAAGGCTAAGGGAAAGAAGAAAGGAGGCAAAAAGAAGAAAAAAGGAAAGAAGAAAGGAGGCGGTAAGAAGAGAGGCAAGTCATCCGGGTAGCTCTGTAACAAGTTTTGAAGCAAAGGTTTAGTAGCGTTTTAAGCATAATACTCTCCTAGTATGAGTGCAGTTACAGCTATTGAACCTGCTTGTGATTGTGTTTCATTTTCCTTAAGAGGTTTGTAGAAAAGAAAGATTCTTAGATTGTTATAGTTTTACCTTTCTAAAAAGATTGTAGCTATACAAGTTCGAAAGGGAAATAATTATGTGTGTTTTACTCAATGGACCAATTCAAATGATCTGCGGATGATAAATTCAATATGGACATTGTAATTGTGTACAAAATGTAGACAATATCAATAATGTTAATTTGTTGCAACTATACAGTATACTAATTCCTTGGACACAGGGACTAATAACCATCCTTAACTTTTGACAAGAAAATTTTCAATTTGACATCTTTACTACTCTAAGCTGGACTTACTCTTAGAGTAGTATGATTGTGGTGGACTCTGGCCGAGTACCGGAGAAAGATTGTTGGCTCATTATCAAACAATTGCTTTCTGATTGCAGCCAAATTTATCCAAATCACATGCGTTTTTTTATAAAATGTTTTTACCCTCGTTTATAATATTTTCATGTCAATAACGTTTTTGAATCTTACCTTTTTGGCCGGAAAGGGACGATTGAAAACACAATACGAAATCTTTTTTTTTTTTTTTTTTTTTTTTCCTAAAAATACCGCCGTTTTTGGTTTGCCTCCTCATCCACATTTGAGCCACTTAAGAAAGACAAAAATATCGTATGCTTAGATGATTACATCACCAATAATTATAGATGACTGAAGAAAACGATAGTTTGAAAGTCGTGGATTATTACTCAACTTCGGTACTTCGATTCGAATAAGATTTGATTTTACGTGAAGTATTGCTTTCTATTGATCGTGCCCAGAGGTCACCTCTCTCTCTCTCTCTCTCTCTCTCTCTCTCTCTCTCTCTCTCTCTCTCTCTCTCTCTCTCTCTCTCTCTCTCTCATAATAGCACTTTAATTCCTAGCTGGAGTTCGGACCCATTTAGGCTTTTTTTATTAACACTCTGGCTTCGCCGTCCAATTTTTCCCACTTCGTACGAGTCCTAAACCGTGATGAGAAGTTATGGTGGTGAAGGCCTGAAGCTCTTGTCACTATTTATACATGTCTAACTCAAAAGATCAAATTAGATATTAGAGAAGTACTTGATGACACTTACACTTGTACTACTAGATAAGGTTAAGTCTTATATCAGATCGAACTTCTTTGTATTTATATTACCGGCCATAACGTACGTCAACAAGTGATATAACCAACTACGAGAGACGTAGTAACTTGAAATTATCATATTGGGTAAAGCAAGAAAGACCCGTGTACTTTTTTCACATCCTAAACGTGAGTGTTAATATGTTGTGTAAATGTAACCATTGGACACCTTTGCAATCAATTAAATGTTTAAAAATCTTTTAATGGTGTAAGGTTACTACCATTATGGTGATTAATCAAAAAACTATCGAAGGCAGCAAGCGACTTGCGTTTGGTAACGGATCCTAATAGCTACCAATCATCTTTTGCGACGTACAGCATATGATAAACTCGAACGATTGTCCTTTATTTTAAAAAAGATAAATACCTGGAATAGAAAGATTACAGGCCTTATTATAATATAATAGATGGGCTTGGTCTAGATTAAGTTTGGATGCAAATCTTGGACCATTTAATCACGTTGGCTTTCGAATGCAAATCTTGGGCCATTTGAATCACGTCGGCTTTCGAATTCTTTAAAAAAATGTAAAGTGTTACGGATCTTGAGTAGATCCATGGTTTCTATAAATGTTTTGTGGTGGATCGATAAAAAAAAATTCATGCATAGCCAAAATGTATCAAATAGTGCTGAATGTAGTTCAATTAAAAAAAAAGTGAAAATTATTGGCCAAATGATGGAATTAGACTTGGCCATATTTTTATGTTTAAGTTTGATCCAAATCAATCATACCATTAGAGACCTATGTATGACTCACCATATGCTTATTCAACTAAATAAATGGAGGAATATTTTGAATATGAGAAATAAATGATGTGAGTGAAGAGGAAAGAATAAAGCATAATGGTGATGAGAATGGAATCACAGAAGAGAGTCCAAAATTTAAGAATGGTGGTGTGATTGCTTTTTCACTTTGTATTGTTTCGATACGTCTATTTTTGTTTTGTGTTCAAAGTTTTCAAACCCCTTCTCTCTTTATTTTTTTCTTCTTCTTAGTGCTTTTGGAAAAGGGAGAAGAGAAGGCTCAGATTCAAGCCCCCACCTATTATAGTTAGAGCATCCTCAATGCATAAGCTTTAAAAATTAATTTTATGATTTCTTTAATAATTTAACTGAAAAAAGTGAATCTTATAATTTCTTTAGTACCTTATATAAGGTACCCTATCTTATATATAGGGTTGAATTATGTATTAAATTTTAATTAGAATTAGCTAAGGATCAGGTTAAGATTCAGCATTGAGGATGGTCTTAGCACCCCACATTCACACCCATTGATTTTTTTTTCCCACATAACCAACTAATACACCCACATTATTAAAATATCAAATACTTAATCATTACCTACGGTATTGGTATTTATGAGTGTAATTTGAAAATTTGGAGATATCACTATGAGATAGATAACTTAATTAAAAACGAATATCAGTATCATTATTCAATGGTTGACAAAAAAAAAGAAAAAGAAGAGAAGGTATGATTAATCAATGTTTACACAAAAACTTGCATGCGTTTTAGATGACTTTTCTGTAGATAATATTCACTTTGGTCTTTGTATCAACTCAACAAACCTTAAAAATGTGTCTTTTAAAAGATTGATGAATCTACATATATAAGAAAACCATCATTTGACAACTTTGCAGTTGTTTCACTATATTTTTAAACAGAAGTCATGGGAAAATATTTTAATTTTTACACTATTGAACATATATGTCAGAGACAAGATTTCAGTTAAAACTACAGGATTCGATCGGTACTATACAGGCATGTTTCTTAAGGACATTAAAATTTTGTCTTAAGCGATTATTTAACCCAAAAAAAAAAAAACAAGAAGAAGAAAAAATAAAGTGTAAGAATTAAAAAGGACGAGACACTGCATGTGTTTTGGACCGTTTGGGTTTAGAGAGAGTGATAAAAAAAGAAGATAAAACTGTCCCCAAACAAAACATAGATAGATCTCCTCAATCCATGCGCAATCCACCTGATCCGTAATACCTATTCTACCCTTCACACCCGAACCTCGTCTCTCGTCTCTCTCTAAACAATAAAGGGTACTACCGTCTTTTTGACTCCCTAAGCCGACAGCTATCTCTGTTTGCTTATAATTTTTGTTTTTTCTTTTGTTCAGAGAATTTTCAACTCAGCTTTCCAAAGTAATGTATTACTATTATAGTTTGCTTAAGATTATTTTTAATACATTATACTAGTAATTAGCAGTGTGGTAATTTAATCTTTAGAAAAACAAGAATTAATCGTCGCAGCTTTTATTTACTTTGCAGACAAATAAAGCATCAGTCACTAAGCCCACCATGATTAGAGCGTCGAGGTCCACCCACATTGTTTTCTTTAATCACGAAAAAACAGTATACTATTCTTATTGCTGAAATTAAGACCCATATTATACTCCATAATTTTATTCCATTTCTTTAATAACTAGCAAAAACAGTACTGTGTCCACTAATGATTGCTTTCAAACACATAATGTCAATAGAAACCTCAACTGTTCCAATATAAACATATCTGCATAAAGAGAGAGAGAGAGAGCAGACAAATTAGTGGAATTTGGAGAGACAATAATTAATTACACTAGTGACTTTTTAATTTTAATTTTTCAAGAAACTATTGCCTATATGTGTGTCATTATATGTCTATATTGTATATATGTATGTATACTTGTCCTTAAATGATTTGTTGGGAACAACATTTGTAACTAATATCATCAAGTCTCTCTATTCATATATATAAAAAAACCCATGCAACTCATCATAATGATTTTAAAGATATGTGATGATTCATAAGTGTACATATATGTATTTGTATCAGTAGGTAATTGAAGTTCCCACTGATTCTTGTTATTTATCACATTTTCTGTATAAGCTAAGGCACTAACTCCACTCATTGTTTTGCTTTCTGTTTTCACTTGTTCTTCTTCAAGTGTCTTACTATATTAAAAAAAATTGATAAGGAAACACATGTTCAAATGAAGACAAATTCTTGAGTAGAGGAAAAAGAAAAGAGAGAGAGAAAAAAAGAAAGAAAGAAAGAAAGAAGAAAAGTGATGGGAAATGGTGAGAAAAATAAGAAGAAAGCTAAAAAATGAATGAATAGATATATAGCGATGGGGTGGGTCAAAAAAGTGTTGGTTGTTCACAAATCCCACAAGGGCTTTGATTCTTTTGTCTCTTTCTTTCTTTCTTTCTTTCACTATTCTCTATTTTTTTTTCTTCTTCTAAATAAGGAGAACAAAAGGAATAGTTTCTTCATCTCTAGTGTATGTAAGTAAATGTATCATTACTTTTTTCTTTGTCTATGAGTAGAACAAATACAACTATTGTTTTCATATGACACCACCCTTTTTTCATCGAACCAACAGGCTCACAATATATAATGCAAGAAGATGATATTATATATGGAGTCTAAACACAAACAACTGATGAACACTTGAAACTCAATACTCTGATTGATTCATTACATCGATCCGAAGAAGAAGAAGAAAATGATATGTAGAAAAAAGTAAAAGGAATCTCTCTCTCATACATACATGAAAAAAAGAAAAAAACGTTTTGATCAAAAGCATCACAAACGAAAGAAACGTCTCATAGAAATTTGTTGTTGTATTTTTTTTAGTAAATATAAATGTAGGTAGAAGAAGGAACACCTGTGGGTCCTACTTTAATTATTTGGCCCTACACACTCTGGGTCCCACTATCTCTCTCTCTTTTGCCATTTTTAATAATAATAATAATTTTCAATATTTTAATTAAATGAGAAAAACAAAAAAAAAAAGTTTGCTCCGTTACCGTCAGAAGTAGTCGCACCACAGCAGCTAGAGAGAGAGATAGCGCCCACACAGACACACACATAAAGCAAAAGCCTTTGAGAGAGAGGAGAGAGCTCTCTCTCATCTCAAGTCTTCCCCAAATCGGAGTCTCACTCCTCTCTCGTTTCTCGAGCCTTTGAGTTTCTTTTCTTTCCCTTTGTTCATCGTCTCTT